GTTGATGAGCAAGATCGTTGACTGAGCTGTAAGCTAAGTCAGACAGTTTGGCAGCAGCAACCCACAAAAAGAGTCACATTCTTGTAGGAAGACCACTGGCAGCGAAGACTGCAAAGGTACAACAATTAAAATTCACAAAACAGCAAAGGGCCGTGAAAAGGTGATGTACCTGTGTTAAATCTCTTTCTTGGACCAGCAAAGAAAGGGATTTGAAGAAAAAAGAACACGGTGACCAGCAAGGAAAGAATAATCTTCAATCTGCCCAGAATTGTCAGTATTTATGTGACACGGAACCGTCTATCAGCGTCTATCGCTGGCAATCTATCTATCATATTTAGGGCGTCGGGTACTTCAAGAAGGTTCATCCTAGGCCATCGCGACGATGCGTTTTCCGTCGCATTTTGCAGGAGATTGAACCTGATTGAACCAAGAAAGGAAAGGTGCAACAGTCTGGGCCTACGGAGCCCTATGACTGCTATAGAATCGGAACCCCTCAGAGCCTATTCGGATGATAATGTCAGTGGCTGCCCCTATACTGCCCCTGGCTCTTACTAGTTCAACCGTCGCATTTTTTTAGGAGATTGAAGCTGATTGAACCGAGAAAGGAAAGGTGCAACCGTCTGTGACCGCCACTGGCCATAAGTTCAATCGTCTTCCGTCGTATCTTGCAGGAGATCCGAACCTGATTGAACCGAGAAATGAAAGGTGTAATAGTCTGGGCCTACGGAGCCCTACGACTGCTATAGAATCAAGCAGCCCTTACAGCCTATTTGGATGATCATGTTAGTGGCTGCCACTACTGCCACTGGCTGTACCTGACGAAGGGGTTCTCTTCTTTCAGAACTGGATTGAGAAATGGGACTCAAATGGCAGCAATACGCGAGGCTAAGCAAATCCATCAAAAGTGGACCGCTGGCCTGTTCTCGCTAAGGTCGGCCGCGATCGGCTAAACCAAAAAAGGAATGGTGGAGAATGGTGGCCTTATCTGAATCTATGATCTGAATCAGAAAACCAGTTTTTCGATTTTATTGAATCGGAGGGAAGCGGTTAAATACCAACGCTAGTAATTGTTCAATCTACCTCCTGCCCTTCTTTGCTGGTCAAAGACAGAAACTTGGTGAGTACACGCAATCTCCTATGAACTATCTCATTCAGCCTAAAATCTATCATCCAGGTCGATTTCAACGTTGTTCTTCTCTTTTGAACGTACCCGTGTTTCACTGAGCCCCGTTCATTTGTGAGTACAAGTCCGTGTTCATTTTAATCTCATGTTCACCTCTCCGAGTCGTCTTGTTTAATTTCACAGACCTTCATGCATTTCAATCTTGCTTTCTTTATCATCGGGCTTGTGTCCTTGGTATCCGGACTACCTATAGCTCATCCGGTTAGATTATAGTATTCCGAACTGAGGGAATAACCGACGAATATTCTTTTTGTCAGGTCTCTTCCACCACCGTGCAAGTTCACTCTCCTCGCATGAACAAACCAGTGCCGCCACCACTCACACTCGAATCAGTGACGATCAAATACAATTCCGCTCTTCCTCAAGAGTGGATCACCGATGCCCTTAAATCTGATATTGGCTCCACGACTCCCACATTCACTCCGGACGCAAAGCAGAAGGGTGCTGAGGCCGAAATGAAAATGGAAGATCCTAATGGCGGCAAGCACACAAAGAATGTGAAGCTGCAGCTCAAGGTTACTGCTATGGACTATGCATCGATTTAACCTCAGCGTATCATAGAAAGCTCTTTGTAATGAATACCTATCAAACGCGTTGAACGAATATAGACATAAGGCCAAAGCTGGCGATACGAGTCCTGTCAGGTACACTTCGTAAATAAGTATTTCACTGTGTTTCAAACTCTCATCTTGTGTATGGTCTTTTCTCTCCCCGTCCGTCGTTTTATGTTCAATGAATATGGCAGACATGTTTATTTAAATACAGTAGGTTCGAAACCTCCCGCCCTCAGCTTTCTACGATACGCGTCTGTTCCTCAATGAAACCATGTCGGTTTTCCTTTCCTTTCCTGTTATATATATATTCTTCCTTCTTCTAACATTACTTACTATTTTTTTAGTTAACTCGTACACATGATCGTAGTTGCAGAACAGGTTCCTAAGCTTCAACCTCTGAAGAGGTAGCGGGAATATGTATGTATTCTGATGTCAGGATTCATTATCACCTTCCAAGTACATAGGTCGAGACTTAGAAATTCAAATTTTCATACGGTGATCTTACAGGGTGGAATGTATTAATTTGGCAATTCGGGGTTCAGGTGGAGTTAATGACCTCGCAATCGTTCCAGTAGTGATGATTTTTCAAATTGGTACCAGCAAAATGCATTGAGTTCCTTCCGGAGTCCTATTACAGTCTATTATCCAAGGAGCGTAGCCGATTTACCCTTCTTCTTCTTCTTACTGGTGTTCGCGAAGGAGCGCCAGGAGTCGACACGCTGTTCTCGATTTGCTGCAGGGGAAGGGAGTCATGATATTGACAAAAAAAAACAACCGTTGGAAAGAGAATACCTTCCCAAGCTTTGTCATCGTCAGCTTTCCTCTTCCTGGTAGCGACCTCTTCGTCCTTCTTCCGGGCTTCAAGTCCTTCATTGGCGAGTGCAAGCTGAAGAGCTCTGGAAAATAGATAATCAATACGACCGCTCCAAGTACTGCTTGAAGTCGTTCTGCAGTACTCACTTCCGCCGCCGCAGCTCCTCGTCGATTAAAAGTTCCTTTGTCTTTGCTCTAACCCTTTCCCTCCAAACTTTGACTCCACCAAGCGCTGTGACCTCCTCACTTGCTTCAATCTCTTTGATAGCCTTGTTGTTCATGCTTGACCAACCCATCTCGCGCACCAATAGTGTCCGGGCCTGGGATAATAGTGCATCCAGCTCGTCTCGCTTTGCCTTCTCAGAAAGCTCCGATTCCGCTTTCTTGAGGATATCGAAAGCATCAGGCGCGCGAGGATGAGGTGTCTTATCCGGGTGTATGACTTGCAAAAAGAGTCGTTAGGAAGTAAGCTCGATGAGAAGACAGTTTAATTGAGACTAACACAGTGATAGTTGTCTGTACTTTTTCTTGATATCGTCTTGAGTTGCGGTTTCATCCAAATCTAGAATATCATACGGGCTGCGAGATGATTCGTTAGGTATTGAAGCCATGCCTTGGACATATCTAACCCACTTCAACTTGAAAGCCTTTAATATCCTCTCTACTTCGACTTCCCTCTGGAAAGCCGACGCTTCTCTTGACAGAAGTTTCTCTAATTCTGCATCTAGTATGGTGGGCGGTGATGGTGAACGTTTGCCCTTCGAAGCTTTTGAGGATGGGCCTGCAGCAGCGTTATTCGACGACGTTGATGTTGACATTGAGTAGCCACGATGAGGTACGAGCAATTCAGAAGGTCGATCAATACAGTCATCCAGCTTATAAGCGGCAATACGGCCCGAGACCTCCCTTAACAAGGACGGTCATGAGCTCGAATGCAACCTTGATACGCTCTTTGCTTTCATCTCGACATACAAGCTCACCATTCTCGCATCAAGCACTTATCAATAGTACCATCTGCAGGAGGACATTTTACTCTATCATCTCTTCTAATGCGACTGTACTTACAGGCAAGAAAACATTTGTATGTGTTACTCTGAAATAAACTTCTATCTTTGTGTATTTCTCATGATCTGGTTCAGCTGCTCCCCAGGTCCATGAAACCATGGGTACGCCCACTGGCGACAAATCATGGTTCCGATCAACCTTCGCCATCTCTTTCTCCTTCTCGGAGACCCATGAGGGTAGGACCTACACCGCGGTATCGGTCGAGGGAAGAAATGTACGCAGACCGTGCTCGAAAAAATCGCTCATTACTGATGTACACTGGAGCCGTGGTATGCTTGCTCCCGATTTTTCTTGTTGGCTCTTCTTGTCTTATATTCTTCTTGCTCTCGTGCAGATCGTAAGTTTTTTAGGCCTAACCTATGCTGCTGTCCCCCTCTACCGTCTCTTTTGCTCCGCAACTGGATTTGCTGGCACGCCCAGTACACGGACCCAGGCTGCTCCTGGACCGGAATACCCCGAATGGTTGCCGGAATGGTTGAAAATTCTGCTCTCGCCCTCTACTGCAGCCCAAGATCGTTTTGCTCCGTCGAGGTTGATTGCTGTAGATCCTGCAGATGACCCAAAGTCAAGGAGGTTCAAAGTCACCTTTACATCTAGCACTTCTACTGCGCTTCCATGGACATTCAGGGCTGCTCAGCACCACGTCTATGTTCTTCCCGGTACGTTCCGAACTAGTATACAGGTCGAAGGGAACTTGAATAGTCTTTTCCGGCAGGCGAAAGCTCACTTGCGTTCTACACGGCAAAAAATAATAGCAAAGATGATATTATAGGTATTGCCACATACAACGTAACTCCGGATCGTGTAAGTTTCCTTCAGCAAATGACTTCCCCGCCAAAACTCGCCTATTCCTCGTTGACACCCCAATTCCTTTTGTAGATTGCTCCCTACTTTTCTAAAATTGAATGTTTCTGCTTCGATGAACAAAAACTGCTCGCTTCAGAAACTGTTGATATGCCTCTTTTGTTCTTCATCGACAAGGACGTACTAGATGACCCCAGTTGTAGGAATGTCGAAGATGTCGTGTTAAGCTATACATTTTTCAGGTGAATGATTTACAGCTTGACCATGCTACTACAAAGACATGCCATGATGTGTCGTGACTGATCATCTCGTCCTTTCCCAACATCTTAGAGCCCGAAGAAACCAGCAAGGTCATCTGGAGCCTGATGCACCCGAAGATGTTGTGCAGGAATCTCTTGGTTTTCAAACCTACGAGCTGGCAAAGCAGGAGTCTGATAAGCTGTCAAAAGGAATGCCAGATAGAGACTAATTTCAGGCAGTAATATCTCCAATCCTATTCAACAACGCACTTCCTTTTACCAAATTGATAGACAACTCTTGGGAATCACGATGAATATGGTTGATGTTAGGATCGTGTTTATGGCCGACTAGCTCAGTTGGTTAGAGCGTCGTGCTAATATAAGTGACGCGAAGGTCTTGGGTTCGATCCCCACGTTGGCCAATGAATGCATTTTGGAATGTTGTGTTTTGCGACTTTTTAACTCATTCCTGGCATGTTGTATAATGTACATGACGTCAGCTGTTTAATATCGGGTCTCGAGAGCAATGGATGTTGATTCGCACCACAGAACAGCGGCTTAGTACGGAGAAGTCTGCTTCGAATAAATTTCACCTTGCTTGCAAAGGTCACTTGTTACTCGATATTATAAGCGCTGCGGAAATTTTACCCACGCCTTAGGCGCTTGTTTGTACCTTTGTTCTGTGCCGTACCTTCTACTGTCCTTACATCTGTGCCACTACACTTGTGTGCTGCATGCTCAGGTAGGTTGGCTGGTATTCATGCCTGGGCTATAGCAGCAGTTTTTGTGCAAGATTTAACTGCCTGCCCAAATTCCTATTGTTTCTGTTTACATCCTACTCAAATGACATGAAACCTACTTGAACTTTTGACTTTCAACTTGGAGTACACCAACTGTAGATGAGTCCAATACTGAATATCAGATAAACACATTATTTTCTTCACTTACATTCCATAGAAGCTCTATAAGACTCTATGGCAACTAATAGTACTTGGAGAAAATTTAGTGGAGCAGCAGGCCTCGGCAGTCAGAAATATAGTTGTTGCCAAGCACAGAGGCCGTGCCAATGCCTGCAGATTTCTTCGCTGATGCAAAATGATTTGTGTTTATTTTGATAACATTATTGGGTAAAAATTAATAGTACTACTAGACTCACTGAGATTTCATCAGGTTTCTTTTATACAATAATTGCATTGAAGCCTTCAGAGTAGGCATGATGAGTAGGTCATAGGAGATGAATGATCATTCAGCTGGCCGTAAAAAACAAGTTTGATCTGAGTAGGGCCATGATTTTTGCACAAAATCTGCCATCATACTGGGTGCTAGCTGACTTTGCCTGTGTGGCTGCACTTCTTCTTTGTACCTGTGCTCCTTGTTCAGTTCTTGCTCATGCTTCTGTGCTGTCATGTGTATGACCAACAGTATGTTCTACTGTCCTTATATTTCTTTTATTCTGACTCTGAAGGTGTGTTATGTACATTTATTTGTCACTCACTATCTCCTTTACTGTCATGCCCTGACCCATTTCTACCATGTCCTAAAAAGCCTCAGAACCTTCCCCTTCTCCCAAAGAACCCTCTGACCCCCCTTGGACACCTCCTGTGAGGCCCTGGCACAGAAGGCCTGCTCTGGTCTTACCCAGACTGGGCCTAAGCGAATGTGGTAGCCGCCTAGGCCGTATGAGGAGGTATGGGAAGTGCCGATACTGGTGAGGGGAGCCTAACCAGAGGTAGTTGTGGAGCTTGGGTAGACCTAATGGAAGGTCCTGGAGGTGTAGAACGTAACACGTAACCACCGCCTTGATGTGGGGGGGAGGTGTAGCTGATACGAGTGGGAAGCTGTGGGGAGCTTAGGGAGCAATGAAGCGGAATTGGGAACCTAATGGGAGGTTCCAAAGGATGAAGGACGAATTGTAGAGTCTCGACGTAGATAATTAGTCGAAGGAGAGGCATAGACAATACGAGGATTGAGAGAAAGAGGCCAGAGACGAGAAACAGAGAGGAAAAATAGAGTTGAGGTGAGACAGAGATAAAGGAAACAGATAATGAGGAAATATATGACAGTTAAGATGTGTCAGGCCCTGTTAGCAAGTACTAGTAGACTGTACTAAAGGGACCAAGCCAGGTAGGAAGAGCTTCCAGGTAAGATTTGACAATAACATGCTGGGGAGTTCCGAGGGGAGTCCCCAGCCTATATACTGTACATAAGGCTGTCAGGTACATATGTCATGTGGCTACTGGAGTGACAGGTAGTATGTATCGTGAAGATCGTAAGGATGGCACATAGAATATTGGAAACACATATAAGCAATGAACCGGAGGTCTGGAAAGGAAAGAGAAAGGTCTAGAGAAGCAAGGCATGACACCTCCCTTCAGGACCTTTCTTGTCAGCTCCATGTTTACAGCAGTGCCCATACTGGTTACCGACTCATACCACGAGGACTCGGGACCTCCAGACGTGCGAACGACACCACTAGCTCCATTTGTATCTAATCTAGATCACGATCGCTACCTTATGCTCAACCGATCCCCTGATGCTCCCTTGTTAACTTCCCTGTACCTATGTAACATCCGAATTGCCAGCTTGGTATATTTTGAACACACATCCTTTACATAGGTCCAGTCCCTGTCCCTTTGTACCTGCTACCTATATGGAATTTCCTTTACTCTCTGTCTCTTGCTTCTACAATCATCTACACAATCCAATATATGCTTTTACTTCATGTCTTAGCAAGCCAAGTGAGTCCTCAACCTCCCTCGACCAATACTAAAGCTCCTCAAAGGTCATCTAAGTAACATTGAAGCTTCCCGTCACACCCACCTATGTATTGCTTCTCCGTTACCACCTCTACCGCTTGGGGATACCCACCACTACCCCTCTCATATCGGGACCTTATTCCCGGGCTCTCACGTCTGAGGCTCACATCAACTACTTGCTGTAACAGTCCTACGTTGACATTCCTAGCTACTATGATTCGCACTACGCAACCTTCCTACATCTCCTAACTCCCGGGTACATCAATCCTTGCCGGTTATTGTCCTAGGGACCTCCCTGGACCTTCTAGGAACCCCCTCAAGGGTCACATTGTACTACCACTAGGTCATTCCTGTCCTTGATCATGGTTCCCGTAGCTCCCTTCGAGCTCCAGCTTGCTCCTAGCATGCTACAACCTAAACCACTCATACTAAATTCACCCCTAAGACCAATTCTGACCCAGGTCTTACATTTACCTCCCATTCTGTATGCCCTCATATTGACAGACCTCAATAATAATTTGTTTGAAACTCACAACCTACTTTTGCTTATTGGACATTGCCTCCTTATCTGCCATGTCAAAATCTTGAACTGCTACATGTATGCTTGTACTATACTGCTTAGTCAATGTCTCTGCTCTTGCAACACTTCACCACATCAGACCATTTGTGTCCCACCTATGTGGACAAGATTCCTGCTGCTTATGTTTGGAAAGTCGTCATTGGGTAAATGGCATTCAGGTACTCAGAATGTGAAAGCAGGGCCATTGAAGATAGCTAGGACCACCAGGTCAGCCAAAGAGTGAGTGTATTGAGTAGGTTATATTTTCAGTCCATGTACAGTTATCAGTTTTTATCATCTTTGTATTTTGGTTTTGGTTCAACACCTTGTAGTCAGGCTGTAATGTGTTAGAACAGCTTGATAATAGATGTAGAACTGTTTCATAACAGTATTGTCAATAATTAGTAGGTTGTACATGGGTGTCCCAGAACAACTCAAGCAAGGTTTGTGTCCCCGACAGGGGCAACTAGTTTAGATAAAAGGTCAGTCCAAATTTGAACCCGGGCATCTTAGAAAGACAAGGATTCCCACAATGATAACAGTGGACAGCGATAAATCATCTATGGATCAAGCCATGACTACCACTGATTCGGAAACCATTTCCGGTTTATAAAATTAGTCCTGGTCTCAGCAGGTCTCAGCAAGTTCCAAATCGAGACATACCTTCTTACTTGCACTGCTATGGGGAATCGAGGCAAGATCTTTACATGCATGAGAAATTGTCTGTATTAGTTTTGTGTGTCATGGCGAACCAATCTGGACTGTCCCAGAGTACTTACTACCATCATACAATAATCACGAAGCGATTTCGCAGGATTTCCTACTGTGATAAATATACAAGCGAAGGAGCAACAAGCCTTTACTATAACATTGTAGTCGAAAATAGATAATCACCCTCCCAGAGCCTACAGGTAGATTAGAAAATCTTTGAATATCAAATCAGGTCCATGATTTCCGTGCAATTCCCTGAGGACATAAGTATCCGGCTCAGCTAAACAACCTGGCGAGAAGTGTTGCTTCCACCAATGATTGACCGCAAGAACGCCGAAGGATGAGCCGGGGACGAGAATTCAAATATTCAGGGGCTGGGAAAGCGGAAGGAATATGTGACGATAAGGGTACAAGTGCTGCCAAGATCAGGAATAGGTGAAAACGAAAGAGCGTTGAGCCAGAAAGGAGAGTGATGTTTTATTCAAGCCCAGTCTAGCATAGATGTATCACCAATCAGCTGCACTCCCTTCATTGGTCCCAGAGCGTTTCCAGTCTGCGGCACTTCCCTCGCTGGTTCCGGAACGCTTCCAATCAGCAGCACTTCCTTCATTGGTTCCAGAGCGCTCAGAAATACGTTCATAAAGCTGCAAGAACAGCGGCAGTAGTTAAATATGCAGTAGAATCCTGGAGAATGACAAGGTCACCTCTATCGGGGCTGCTTGTAAATGTGAAACCAGCATGGAGAAAATAAACATGAGACCAGCTAGGATAAAATTGGCTCGCATGGCGAAGGGGGGAATGTTGAGCTTAGTGAAGAGGGGGTGCAAACAACAATCTTTCCTCGATCCATGCGATATTTATCTCCTGTCATGGTAATACAGACCCTTGAAAAGGAACGGTCCCTGGGAATGTGTTCCATGCTTTCACATGGTAAGAGACTACCTAAAGCCTTCAGGAAAGCAAGCCATTCATATGAGGGTGTTGCTGAAACATTCGAACCGAGCTCATGCTATCTGACCTATGCCGGGCCTCAGTTCAAACTCAACAAGGAGAGAGATTGAAACTAATGGTTGAGACCGATGCACACGCTACTTATTATAAGCAGCGTCGCGGGAATCACAGCAGGATGAATATATGCCAAGAAGCCTTGAGAGGCTGATCTGCATGGGAATCTCACAAGCATGGAAAGAGAGATAAAGCAGACGAGCGTGGGTATGGCAAAATTATATGGGGACTCACAAGGCGGCTAGCTATGCTACTAATGACAAAGGTAGTACAACCGTATAACCTCAGAGAGAGATTGGCCTCCTTAATTATGGGGGAATAGAGTAGTGTTCGGTCCTTGTGTAAGGTTTTGAACCAGTTGTTCTCCCCAGCTTGTTGAAGTGCAAGAAGA